ATCATGCCAGAGGGTCCGAATAGGTGTCCGAGTGTTTAAACCCTAATGCATGAGAAATGGCGAGTAAACACCATAATTACATATCTGCCATCATGCAAGGGGGTCTGCATCAGTGTCCGACCGTTTAAGCCCTAATGCACGAGAAACGGCAAGTAAACACCATAATTACATATCTGCCATCATGCAAGATGCTCTGAAGAGGTGTCCGAGTGTTTGAACCGTAATGCAAGATAAAATGGCAAGTAAGCACCATAATTACATGTCTGCCCTCATGGAAGAGGGTCCGAATAAGTGTCTGAGTGTTCAAACCACAATCTAAGAGAAATGGCAAGTAAAAACTATAATTACATATCAGCCACCATCAAAGAGGGTCCGAATAAGTGTCCGTTTGTTTAAACCCTAATGCATGAGAAATGGCGGGTAATCAACATAATTATATATCTACCATCAAGCGAGAGGGTTCGAATATGTGTCCGGGTCTTTAAACTCTAATGCATGAGAAATGGCAAGTAAACACCATAACCATATATCTACCATCATACAAGAGGGTCTGAATAAGTGCACGCGTGTTTGAACCCTAATGCATTAGAAATCGCAAGTAAACACCATAATTACATATCTGCCATCATGCAAAAGGGTCTGAATAAGTGTACGAGTGTTCGAACGCTAATGCATGAGAAATGGCAAGTAAACACCATAATTACATATATGCCATCATGCAAGAGGGTCCGAATAAGTGTCCGAGTGTTCGAACGCTAATGCATGATTAATGGCAAGTAAATACCATAACTACATATCTGCCATCATGCAAGAGGGTCCAAATAAGTGTCCGATTGTTTAAACCCTAATGCATGAGAAATGGCGGGTAATCAACATAATTATATATCTACCATCAAGCGAGAGGGTTCGAATATGTGTCCGGGTCTTTAAACTCTAATGCATGAGAAATGGCAAGTAAACACCATAACCATATATCTACCATCATACAAGAGGGTCTGAATAAGTGCACGCGTGTTTGAACCCTAATGCATTAGAAATCGCAAGTAAACACCATAATTACATATCTGCCATCATGCAAAAGGGTCTGAATAAGTGTACGAGTGTTCGAACGCTAATGCATGAGAAATGGCAAGTAAACACCATAATTACATATATGCCATCATGCAAGAGGGTCCGAATAAGTGTCCGAGTGTTCGAACGCTAATGCATGATTAATGGCAAGCAAATACCATAACTACATATCTGCCATCATGCAAGAGGGTCCGAATAAGTGTCCGATTGTTTAAACCCTAATGCATGAGAAAAGGCAGGTAAACAACATAATTATATATCTACCATCATGCAAGAGGGTCTGAATACGTGTCCGAGTGTTTAAACCCTAACGCACAAGAAATGGAAAGCAAACACCATAATTACATATCTACCATCAAGCTAGAGGGTCTGAATAATTGTCTGAGTGTTCGAACCCTAATGCATGAGAAACGGAAAGTAAACACCATAATTACATATCTGCAATCATACAAGGGGGTCCGAATACGTGTCCGAGTGTTTAAACCCTAATGCATGAGAGATGGCAAGCAAACACCATAACTACATATCTGCCATCATGCAAGAGGATCCGAATAAGTGTCCGCGTGTTTTAACCCTAATGCATCAGAAATGGCAAGTAAATACCATAATTACATATCTGCCATCATGCAAGAGGGTCCGAATCAGTGTTTGTGTGTTCGAACGCTAATGCATGAGAAATGGAAAGTAAACACCATAATTACATATCTGCCATCATGCCAGAGGGCCCGAATAGGTGTCCGCGTGTTTAAAATCTAATGCCTGAGAAATGGCAAGTAAACACCACAATTACATATCTGCCATCACGTAAGCGGGTCTGAATAAGTCTCCGAGTGTTCGAACCCTAATGTATGAGAAATGGCAACTAAACACCATAATTACATGTTTGCCATCATGCAAGAGGATCTGAATACCTGTCCATGTGTTTGAACCCTAATGCACAAGAAATGGCAAGTAAACACCACAATTACATATCTGCCATCATGCAAGAGGGTCTGAATAAGTGTTCGTGTGTTCAAACGCTAATGCATGAGAAATGGCAGGTAAACACCATAACTACATATCTTCCATCTTGCAAGAGCGTCCGAATAAGTTTCCGACTGTTTAAACCTTATTGCGTGAGAAAAGAGAAGTAAACACCATAATTACATATCTGCCATCATGCCAGAGGGTGAGATAGGTGTCGGAGTGTTTAAACCCTAATGCATGAGAAATGGCGAGTAAACACCATAATTGCATATTTGCCACCCTGCAAAAGGGTCCGAATAGGTGTCCGAGTGTTCGAACGGTAATGCATGAGAAATGGAAAGTAAACACCATAACTACATATCTGCCATCATGCAAGAGGATTTGAATACATGTCCGTGTGTTTAAACCTGAATGCATGAGAAATGGCAGGTAAACAACATAATTATATATCTACCATCGTGCAAGAGGGTCTAAATAAGTGTACGAGTGTTTAAACCCTAATGCATGAGAAATGGAATGAAAACACCATAATTACATATCTGCCATCAAGCTAGAGGGTCTGAATAAGTGTCCGAGTGTTCGAACCCTAATGTATGAGAAATGGCTAGTAAACACCATAATTACATATCTGCCATCATGCAACGGGATCCGAATACGTGTCCGTGAAGTGGATAGAGAAGATGCTATGGCAAGTGAAGTGGATAGAGAAGCTTTGGCTGGGGTTACGCAAATTCTAGATACTGTGGTTAATGCTCAGATATCAGAAAACTCGAATAATGCTGGGATGAAGAATGTTGTAATTAGTGGAGGTACTCAAAGAACTTTGGGTGAAGATGATAGCTCAGGGAATCTCATGTCTGCCAAACTAGATGGTCTTGCAGAGTTAAGGAATGAACTGCTAGATATTGCCATGCTAGCCCTCCCTGAGGACACAGAAATGTTGGAGAAAGTCAGAAATCTGCCAATCTCTGTGGAAAGTCCACAATTCACTCCGGATACTCTTCCTACAAGCTCTTCAACAAAGAAATCCTCTGGTAAGGGTAAAGCCCAAAGGAAGAAAACTAGGTAACTCCGTGTTCCTTTGGGTTGAGAGTTTTTTTTTTGTGTTTCCCATGTCTTTTAAAATTGCTGCCTGGAATATTAGGGGTTTTAATGACCCGTCTAGACAAAAAGAATTGAGAAAATTTTTGGTGAAAGAAGATATAAAAGTCACGGGTATTTTGGAGACTAAAATAAAATCTCTTAATGAAAACCAAGTTTTCTCATCCTGTATGAGTCATTGGTCTTTTTTAACAAACTCTCAGCCAAATAAAACTGGTAGGCTTTGTGTTTTTTGGGATCCTGATTTTTGCTATGTTACATTGATCCACTCTTCTGATCAATATATTTTTTGTGAGATTAAGGAAATAGCTCAAAACAAAGTTTTCAATATGTGTTTTGTCTATGCTGAGAATAGCCATGCCTTGAGAATCAAATTTTTTGATATTATGCTGAGGCTTTCTCACCTTAATTCAGCTACCCCCCTGGTTTTTCTAGGGGACTTCAATGCCATTAGATATAGTTTTGAGAAGTTTGGGGGCTCTCTGAACTGGAATAAGGATAAGGAGATGTTCAACTCTTATATCCTTAATGCTGATCTTGTTGACTTATCCTATGGTGGCTGTCAGTTTACTTGGGCCAATAAGCGTACTAGGGGGGATTACATTGCCACGAAAATTGACAGAGTTCTAGTCAATGAATCTTGGCTTGACCAATTCCCTGCGTCCACTGCTATGTTTCTTCCATCTGGTATCTCTGATCACTCTCCTGTTGTTGTTAGTATTTCTGTTAAAGCTCCATCCTTTAAAAAGCCTTTCAAATTCTTTGACTTTTGGGCTAAACATGAGGAATTCTCTCCTAAAGTGGCCCAGGTCTGGAGTCAGTATATTCATGGTGTTCCTATGTACAGAGTCTGTCAAAAACTCCGTAATCTGAAACCTGTTCTTAGGACTTTGAATACTAAGGAGTTTAGTGATATTTCCACTAGAGTCTTGATTACCAAAGCTGAGTTGGATTCCATCCAATGGAAGATGGACAAAGACCCTAGTAATCTCTCTTTTCAAAATCTAGAAAGGAATCTGTACAAAAAGTATGTTGATCTGAGTGCTGTGGAGGAAAGTTTAGCTCACCAAAAATCTCGAATCCAATGGCTTGGCCTGGGTGATCGTAATAGCAGTTTCTTTTTTAGGTCTGTTAAAGGTAACATTAATTGGGGCAAAATTCTCAAAGTGGAGTTGGAGGATGGGAGCCTTTCCACTCATCCCGAAAGTATTCATGATGCCTTTATCGGTTATTTCTCGAAGCTCTTTGGTAATCCTCCACAGGACCAGTATAGAGGAGCTGATAGAATTAATTCTCTCATCCAGTCTAAAGTCTCTAATGACCAAGCCTTTCAACTTGCTAGACCTGTCTCTGATCAGGAGATAAAGGATGTTTTGTGGTCTCTAAAGCCAATAAGGCCCCTAGCCCTGATGGCTTTTCAGCTGGTTTCTTTAAGAGTGCTTGGAGTATAGTGGGTAAAGAGGTCACTCAGGCTATTAGATCCTTTTTTGAGTCGGGGGAAGCTCCTAACTGAAGTTAACAATACTACCATTGCCCTTATTCCTAAGGTCCCTAATCCGGTTAAAGTGGGGGACTACAAACCTATTTCCTGTTGTAATACTATCTATAAGTGCATTGCTAAGATAATTGCCAACAGGATTAAGGCTGTCCTCCTTGATCTTATTGACCCTGTCCAATCAGCTTTCGTTCATGGGAGAAGAATCTCTGACAACATATTTTTGTCTCAAGAGCTTATGAGAGGTTATCATAAAAACTCAAATGTTCCGAAGTGTGCCATGAAAGTTGACATTATGAAGGCCTATGATACTGTTCGATGGGATTAAATTATTGATATTCTCAATGCTATGGGCTTTCCCCATAAGATGATTTCCTGGATTAAAGCTTGTATGAGTAGCCCTTCCTTCTCTATCTGTATCAATGGGAGTTTTCATGGCCATTTCAAAGGTGCTAGAGGTCTTAGGCAGGGTGACCCCATGTCCCCTTATCTTTTGGTTTTGGCCATGGAAGGCCTTGCTAGGATTCTTGATGAGAAGACCAAGCATCCTTTGTTTAAATTTCACTGGAGATGCGAAAAAACTAAGATTGTTAATCTTTGTTTTGCTGATGATCTCATGATTTTTAGCAAAGGGGATGTTAACACTGTGCGCATGATCATGGTGGGTTTGGAGGAATTTAGCTCACTATCTGGCCTCACCCCTAACCCTAGTAAAAGCAATGTGTTCTTTTCTGGATGTAACAAGAAGTTAAGAGATGACATTCTTCAAATTGCATCTTTCTCTGAGGGAACTTTGCCGGTTAAATACCTTGGTGTCCCTCTTATCACAACTAAGCTGAAAGCTTCTAATTGTAAACAACTTGTTGATAGAATCACTAAGAGGATTAGTTCTTGGACCAATAAACTTCTTTCTTATGCCGGTAGATCCCAACTGATCCAAACCATCTTGTTTTCCATGCAAGTCTACTGATCTTCGTTGTTTATCTTGCCTAAGAAGGTTATTAAGGAGATTGAGAGTCTCCTAAGAGCCTTTCTTTGGTCTGGTACTGACCTCAGGAAGCACTGTGCTAAAATTGCTTGGGATAAAGTTTGCACCCCTAAAAAAGAGGGGGACCTTGGCTTCAAATCTCTTGAGGTTTGGAATAAGGCTGCCATAGCCAAGCATGTCTGGTTCCTTTTCTCTGGTGGGACTAAGTCTATGTGGTGTCAATGGGTGAAATCCTATCTCCTTAAGGGGAAGAGTTTTTGGAAAGTTAAGTCTCCTAGTGACCCTTCTTGGGTTTGGAGGAAAATCCTTTCTCTGAGGCCTGTCATTTACCCTCTCATCCATCACAAAATTGGTAATGGTCGTGATACTTTCCTTTGGTATGATAACTGGCATCCGTTGGGTTCTTTGTGGGACAAATATGCTGATAGAATCTTGTATGATTCGGGTTTAAATAGTGATGCTAAAGTCAGTCAGGTTATTGAAGGAAACTCCTGGAAATGGCCTTTTCCCACCTCATGGGAGCTCAGGGATCTTATTTCCCATCCTAATAATTGGAATCCTAATTCTTTGGATATGGATAAGGTGGTTTGGTATCATAATCCTGATGGGGATTTCACTATAAAATCTGTGTGGGACCTGTGGAGGAATAAGGAAAGCATTGTTCCGTGGTACAAACTGGTTTGGGGGGCTTACACCATTCCTAAAGTCAGTTTTATTGTTTGGTTGGCTATTCATGGTAGGTTGAATACTAGTGACAGACTCCATTTGTTTGGTATCTCTCCTAGTACTACCTGTCCTTTTTGCTTGGATCCTAATGAGAGTCATGCTCACATATTCTTTGGCTGTACCTTTACCTATAGTATTTGGCTTACCATGCAAGGTAAATGTAATATTCATTGGATTGATATACCTTGGCCTGACATTGTTGCTCATGCCAACCAAGAGGGCCAAGGTAAATCTCTCAAAGCTATCATCACTAGACTTTCCTTTCTTTGTACTGTGTATCATGTGTGGATTGAAAGAAACAATAGAATTTTCAACAAGGAATGTAAACCTGTAGGGGTGATTATCAAATCTATTGTACTCATGGTAAGGGGCAGATTGTTGTCTGCTAGCAACATTCCCAATACTGCAGGTGATAGCTGGTTCCTTTCTCAATGGAACCTTCCTAGATCCATATTGAAGCCCCATTCTCACAGTAATGGGAGGGCTGCTGAGTGATGTGAGTTTCTAAATTTTGAGTTGAGTGATTGTGAGCAGAAACTGTGTGTTTTTTCTAATTAGCTACTGCTTGTGTAGGTGTGTTCCTAGGAAGCTTTTCTCTACAATGTGGGTTGAGTGATGTGAGCCTCGAAAATAAAAAATACCTCTGCTTTGTGTTCGTTATGTGCGTTGAGTGAAATTAGCACCTATATGATTTTGACTCTAATCAGTATATATATTGTAAAATTTTATGTGCAGGTTAAGGAAGCAATTCCCGAGTTTTGTGAGGTTCTATATTTGTGGGTTGAGTGCTGTGAGCAACAAATATGTGTGTACCACCCTTTATTCCTTCTGATTTTGGGTGCTGTTATTTCTGTGTTTGTTTGGCAGGTCCTACTACAATGTCTAGATGATGCATATCACAAGTTCTCTACTTGGGGTTGCATCTCCGAAAATCAAGTTTCGTTGGTGGATGTGGTGCGGACATGTGAGGTTATCTGGTTTCGTGGAATGGCTGCTTCATGCGCCTTCTGGGTTGCCCAGAGTGTTAATCAGTTGTCTTTCAATATTTCTCTTTTCTGTAATTACTATACAATCATAGATGTTTTGCCTACCCTAGTGGGATGTACTAGGGATTATGGGTTGTACTCTTATCTTCTAACCTGTGTGCTTGCTCGGTCTTACACTAGGAAGCATATGGATTTGGGTATGTGGTTTTTGAGTTTTATTGCTAGAGTTTGGTTGTTTTGGCATCTATATTTGGTGCACCTTTTGGATCATTAGCTGGTTTTGCTTCTGTTCATTCGCTATTTCCTTTAAATAGGTTATGAACATTTGTTTTTGTTTTTTTTTTCCATGTTTAGTCCATGTGGGTTGTTGTAGGGTTAGGTGTGGCCCTTTGTGGTTGTTTTCTTTTTCGGTCTTTTTGCTAGTCCTGTATAGCTTCTTGGTAGGTCCTGGGGTTTGCCCCTTGTAATCTTGTATATTCTGCTATTTTTTTCATTGTCTTATTCACCCCCAAAAAAAAAAAGAATACGTATCCGTTTGTTTAAACCCTAATGGATGAGAAATGGCAGGTAAACACCATAATTACATATCTGCCATGATACAAGACGGTCCGAAAAAGTGTTCGAGTGTTCGAACGCAAATGCATGAGAAATGGCAAGTAAACACCATAATTACATATCTGCCATCATGCAAGGGGGTCCGAATAGGTGTTCGAGTATTTAAACCCTAATGCATGAGAAATGGCAAGTAAACACCATAATTACATATCTGCCATCATGCAAGAGGGTCGGAATAAGTGTCTGAGTGTTTAAACCCATGTGCGTGAGAAATTTAATGACATATCTGCCATCATGCATGAGGGTCTGAATACGTGTCCGAGTCTTCAAATCCTAATGCACGACAAATGGCAAGTAAACACCACAATTACATATCTGCCATCATGCAAGAGGGTCCGAATGGGTGTCCGAGTGTTCAAACCTAACGCATGAGAAATGGGAAGTAAACACCATAATTACATATTCGCCATCATGCAAGGTGGTCCGAATAAGTGTTCGAGTGTTTAAACCCAAATGCATGAGAAATGGCAAGTAAACATCATAATTACATATCTGCCATCATACGAGAGAGTCCGAATAAGTGTCCGAGTGTTTAAACCCTAATGCAAGAGAAATGACAAGTAAACAAAATAATTACATATCTGCCATCATGCAAGAGGGTCTGAATAAGTGTCTGAGTTTTTAAACCCTAATGCATGAGAAATGGCAAGTAAACACCATAATTACATATCAGCCATCATGCCAGAGGATCTGAATAAGTGTCCGAGTGTTCGAACCCTAATGTATGAGAAATGGCTATGAAACACCATAATTACATATTTGCCATCATGCAAGAGGATTCGAATACGTGTCCGTGTGTTTAAACCCTAGTGCACAAGAAATGGAAAGTAAACACCACAATTAAATATCTGCCATCATGCAAGAGGGTCCAAACAAGTGTTCGAGTGTTCGAACGCTAATGCATGAGAAATGGCAAGTAAACACCATAATTACATATCTGCCATCATGCCAGAGTGTCCGAATAGGTGTACGAGTTTTTAACCCAAATGCATGAGAAGTGGCTACTAAACACCATAATTACATATCTGCCATCACGCAAGAGGATCCGAATACGTTTTCGTGTGTTTAAATACTAATGCATGAGAAATGGCAAGTGAACACCACAATTACATATCAGCCATCATGCAAGAGGGTCCGAATAAGTGTCTGAGTGTTCGAACGCTAATGCATGAGAAATGGCACGTAAACACCATAACTACATATCTGCCATCATGCACGAGGGTCTGAATAAGTTTCCAAGTGTTCAAACCCTAATGCATGAGAAATGACAAATAAACACCATAATTACATATCTGCCATCATGCAAGAGGGTCTGAATACGTGTCCGAGTGTTCGAATCCTACTACACGAGAAACGGCAAGTAAACACCACAATTAAATATCTGCCATCATGCAAGAGGGTCCGAAGAAGTATTCGAGTGTTGGAACGCTAACGCATGAGAAATGGCAAGTAAACACCATAACTACATATCTGCCATCTTGCTAGAGGGTCTGGGTAAGTTTCTGATTGTTTAAACCTTAATGCATGAGAAAGGGCAAGTAAACACCATAATTATATATCTGCCAGCATGAAAGAGGGTCCGAATAAGTGTCTGAGTGTCTAAACCCTAATGCACGAGAGATGGCAAGTAAACACCATAATTACATATCTGTCATCATGCAAGAGGGTCTTAATAAGTGTCCAAGTGTTTGAACCCAAATGTATGAGAAGTGGCTAGCAAATGCCATAATTACATATCTGCCATCATGCAAGAGGATCTGAATACGTTTCCGTGTGTTTAAATCCTAATGCATAAGAAATAGCAAGTGAACACCACAATTACATACCAGCCATCACGCAAGAGGGTTCGAATAAGTGTCCGAGTGTTCGAACGCTAATGCATGAGAAATGGCATGTAAACACCATAACTACATATCTGCCATCATGCACGAGGGTCTAAATACGTTTCCGAATGTTTAAACCCTAATGCATGAAAATGGCAAATAAACACCACAATTACATATCTACCATCATGCAAGAGGGTCTGAATACGTGTCCGAGTGTTCGAATCCTAATGCACGAGAAACGGCAAGTAAACACCATAATTACATATCTGCCATCATCGAAGATGGTCCGAATAAGTGTATGAGTGTTCGACCGCTAAAGCAAGAGAAATGGCAAGTAAACACCATAATTACATATCTGCCATCATGTACGAGGGTCCGAATAAGTTTCCGAGTGTTTGAACCCTAATGCAGGAGAAATGGCAAATCAACACCATAATTACATATCTGCCATCATGGAAAATGGTCCGAATAAGTGTCCGAGTATTCGAATGGTAATGCGTGAGAAATGGAAAGTAAACACCACAACTAGATATCTGCCATCATGCAAGAGGGCCCGAATAAATGTTCGATTGTTTAAACCCTAATGCATGAGAAATGACAGGTAAACAACATAATTACATATCTGCCATCATGCAAGAGGGTCCAAATAAGTGTCCGAGTGTTTAAACCCTAATGCATGAGAAATGGCAAATAAACACCATAATTCCATATCTGCCATCATGCAAGAGGGTCCGAATAAGTGTCCGAGAGTTTAAATGCTAATGCATGAGAAATGGCAAGTAAACACCATAATTACATATCTGCCGTCATGCGAGAGGGCCCGAATAGGTGTCCGCGTGTTTAAAAGCTAATGCATGACAAATGGCAACTAAACACCGTAATTACATATTTGCCATCATGCAAGAGGATCCGAATATGTGTCCTTGTGTTTAAACCCTAATGCACAAGAAATGGCAAGTAAACACCACAATTTAATATCTGCCATCATGCAAGAGGCTCCGAGTAAGTGTTCGAGTGTTCGAACGGCAATGCATGAGAAATGGAAAATAAACACCATAACTGCATATCTGCCATCATGCAAGAGGATCTGAATACGTGTCCGTGTGTTTAAACCCTAATGAATGAGAAATGGCAGGTAAACAACATAATTATATATCGGCCATCGTGCAAGAGAGTCTGAATAAGTGTCTGAGTGTTTAAACCCTAATGCATGGGAAATGAAATGTAAACACCATAATTACATGTCAGCCATCAAGCTAGAGGGTCTGAATAAGTGTTTGAGTGTTCGAACCCTAATGCCTGAGAAATGGAAAGTAAACACCATAATTACATATCAGCCATCATACAAGAGGATCTGAATACGTGTTCGAGTGTTTCAACCCTAATGGATGAGAAATGGCAAGTAAACACCATAATTACATATCTGTTATCATGCAAGAGGGTCCGAATAAGTGTCCACGTGTTTGAACCCTAATGCATGAGAAATGGCAAGTAAACTCCATAATTACATATCTGCCATCATGCAGAACGGTCCGAATAAGGGTCCGAGTGTTTGAACGGTAATGCATGAGAAAAGGAAAGTAAACACCATAACTACATATCTGTCATCATGCAAGAGGGTCAATAAGTGTCGGAGTGTTCTTAAACCCTAATGCATGAGAAATGGCAAGTAAACACCAAAA